AGAAGAACGAACTGGGGAGGAGGGTAGAGAAAACAGTGCAACAATGAATGAATGAAAAACCAAAATCTCTGCAAATGTTCATTAAAACTAATAAAATTTAATAATAATTAAAAAAAAGAAAAAGACCAGGCTTACTGGTCTACTAGAGACTGGACTATGGCTGTTGGCTACTCTACAAGCCTGAAACAATGGAAATTTACTCTTGTAACTTAATTTTTAGTTGAACAACAGATAGGCCTGAAAGGTGATAAACAATGTCGAAAAGGAGCACATACCTTAGAACAATCAACTATACAAGATCCAATGGGCAGTATTTGCCCAGGGATAAAGCTCAGATGGCAGGAAGACCCAGGAAAGAAAGACAAACAGAATGAGAAACAGGGATGAAGGGGGGAGAGTGCTGTTACATGAAATGTGGAGACTGGAGTTAATGTCATGGAACATAACATGCATGAATTGCTCAGTGGAAAACAAATTTGTTCTGTAAACTTTCATTAAGATCACAATGAAAAGTTAAAAATATTATCTTGCCAGTGATGGAGAACTCATTAACTGCTTAGAAAACTGGATTTATTTTTGCACAGCTCAAATTCTTAGAAACGTGTTCCTAACACTGTCCAGCTTGATGATGCACAGCTAATCCCAGGGCTTTGCACTGCTCTCTGAAACCACACAGAACAGTTTCAAATGGTCACTTCCTATAGGTGTCTTTCAAATACAGTATTTAAATACAATACCTGTATTCTTTATAACCTCTCTCTTTCCTAGAACAGACATGTCCTGTTCTGATATTGAACCAGTACACATAATTGGTTACAATTCAAAGAAATGGTTTAAATGTTCTGACCAAAGATGGCAGTTTGCTGGTTCTTACCGATTCAGGAAAGCATTTCCAAAACGACTGAGTTTTCGAAATGGCTTTTTGGGATCCACAACCAAAGCATTTCCTGGGGTGCTGCCCTCTGTTTCTCCATACATCACAGCAATGAAGGAATCAGTGGTGGGCTCGGGGCCAATCCTCATGCCTGGAAAATCTTGCTCCAGTAAGTACCTGGTGGGAGGAGAAATGGAGAAAGATGAGCATGTCACAGAGCAAGAGGCCAAAAAGCTTCCTGCAGTCACAAAAGTGAAATATATTTATTTAAAAACTGAGACACAAAATCCCCTGAGAGACAGAATGGCTGGTGTCTGACTCTTTTGGGTTAAAAAAAAGTATGGATCTTTTTCCACCCAGACTAAGCAGCCTGGTGGAAGAAGCCAGGCTCTCTGCATTCACTGGGTCTTCTATAAGTTCACCTCTTCTCAACACGGCAATTTTTTGCTTATGGTTCCTTCCATCAGCAGAATATGCAGCATCCCAGGACAGAGGCACCCCGCCACCTCTCCTGCGTCCCTGAACACCCTCACATCTTCCCTGACCTGACCCTCCAGGCACTGTGGAAATCATCACTGAGATTCTATTTATGTGTTTAGGGCTCTTGCAGCAAGTGCACGTCTTAGTCCCAGACATGTATCTCTAGCTCCCTGCACTTTGTCTACCCGCTGTGGGCACTCAGTACATAGTGAAGGAAATAATGAACAATTGCTTTCCTTGTCACTGTTCAATTAATTCAACACATCCTCCCTTGTTCACTTTGCAGCACCCTTGGGTCCCTGAAAGTCATGCCTGTGGGAGGTGATTTCCAAAGAAAGTAAGAAAAGCTAAGTTTTCAAAAGAAAGTGGGTAGTATGGTGGAGACCATGAGGATGGGGCAAGATGGGGTAAGGTCTCCATTTGTTGGTCACAGGGTTGCTATGCGTCAGAGTTGAACTGATAGGAACTGAGGGAGCTCTGGTGGTCCACTGGTAAGAAGCTACACTGCAATCCCAAAGGCATGCGTTCAAATCCCCCAGCTGCTCTGCAGGGAAAGGATGAACAATCTCCTCCTGTGCAATTAGCTGCCTCTGAAAACGCACTGGAGGGTCAGCTATGGGTCAGTTCTGACATGACAGTACTCAACTCAACAACTACTACATGGAGGGGAGGGTAAAGAGGAGGTCCAGATTAGCTCTCACCATGGTCAGTGAAAATAAGAGAAAAAGATGTGCCTTCCTCTAGGCAGATATAGCTCGGTACCAGGTTCACAATTTGGCAAGCAGGATGCTCAACAATTCAATTCATTGCTATCAAGTCAAAACTGACTCACAGCTGACCCTCCAGCAAGTTTCAGAGACTGTAAATAGCACAGGGGGAGATGGCTCATCTTTCTCTCCTGGAGCAGCTGGTGGATTTGAACTTCATGCCTTTGGGTTGGGATCACAACTTCTTATCCACATCCCCAGTGTCCCCTTGCCTGAGTGCCCTCAAGTACAGTGTAACCTACAATCATACAAAACGGTCTTAGCAAACCTCTCCTAGGGTTCTTATTCAAGGGTAAAGGAGACCTAGTCGACATGATGGGCCTAGAAGTTAGAGGAGAATGAGGGCACAATTCTGCTTTCTTCATTAAGCTGAAGCCATTCAGAGGCCTTCTGTCCCCACAAAGTTTCTTTTATACGATGTTGATGTTGTTAGCTGCGGTCAAGTTGCTCTGACTTATGGTGACTGTACATGCAACAAATATTGCTAGTCCCCCATCATTGTCATTACTGGTTGGCATTCCTGGTTCCCCTTATTTTTCATGACCTTCTAGAAGAATACTGAACATACCATGGATCGTCAAGAGAACAACCAGGTCTGTCTTGGAGAGGGTGAAACCAGGTTGCTCCTTGCAGGCAAGTATAACAAATTTCATCTCACATATTTTGGGCATGTTGCCAGGAGGGACCAGTCCTTGGAGAAGGACATCATGTTTGGAAGGGAGAAGGGACAGAGCAGAAGAGAAAGATCCTGGGTGAGATGGAGTGACATAGTGACTGTGGCAATGGGGTCAGGTCAGTGTGTCTGACAGTGAGGCTGGTTCAAGATCAGGCATGATTCCGAGACATTGTTCAGAGTCTCTGTGAGTCATAGTTGACTCAATGGCACACTAACAACAATTTTATTAAATTTTATATCCTTTTCTAGCAATTGATCTTTCCAGATAATGTGCCCAAAGCAAGTGACCTGATGTCTTACTATCTTTGCTTCTGGAAGAGTACTTGTGATATGTTGTTCTTAGTTTTCCTTATAATTTCTGATATCTTGAGCCCAGTACTGCAGTTACAGTGTTAATCCACCTCACTGCGGATCTTCCTTTATTTCACTGACTTTTCAAGCACAACATTGCTTTTCTTAGGTAGGCTCTCCTAGCAATATGCCCAAAATATGTGAGATGAAATTTGTTATACTTGCCTCCAAGGAGCATTCTGGCTCCACTTTCGCCAAGACATACCTGTTTATTCTTTTGGAAGTCCATGGGCTCTTCAGCACTCTTCTGCTATACCACAACTCAAAGGCATCAATTCTTCTGTCTTCCTTATTCATTGTTCAGCTCTCAGATGCACAACAGTGATGCAGGAACACCAAACACCCACTGTCAAGTTGACTGTAAAGCATAGCAATGCTACGGGCATAAAATAACTGCTCCAAAGAGTTTCCAAAGCTGTAATCTTCACAAAAGCAGACTGTTACATCTTTCTCCCATGGAGTAGCTGATGAGTTTGAACCACCAACCTTTTGATTAGCATCCCAGTGCTTAACCATTGTGCCAAGAAGGCTCCTTTATAAATAACCTATTTGTGTGCCTATGTCTAAATAGAATTGGGAGCAGGAGTGAGGAGAAGACAAAGACTATATCTTTCTTCCTTTGTAACCAAGGAGAACATGAAGAAGAAGTATTCTGAAACTGATTTCATTCAATATCAAGTGACATGTGGAAATGCAGCACTTTCAGACAACAGCTGACAGTGATTTTGAACAGGTACCAGAGATGGAAAGAATCCCTATGAGACGATCAGGGCCTGTCCCTATCCTACCAGAAAGATAATCCCTCTCCTGAGTGAAAGGGTCAAAGGGAAGAAATCTATACAATTTTCTCCAGCTCCTCATTTCTACAGTTAATAATACAATTTGCCATAAACTCTTTGTCTAGCAAGTCCTAACTGATCCAATTTAAATCCAAAACCTGTATTTCCATGAGTAGAGGAAAAGATCTGAATTATCATATGTTCAACATAATTGTTTCATCATAAAGAATGAATAACTAAGCCATCATTTGGAGCTATGTTTTCTCTAAATAAAATGAGGGTTGTTTAGCTGTATTTTAAGCCTTCACCAATTTAATTTTAAATTTCTACTTAACCCAAAATTTCTATGTTTCTTTAAAGTTCAGAAATCCCAGAGCAGATAGGATGTTTTAATATGTCCTCTACATTTAGAGTAGGGAGCTCTGGGGGGCATAGTGGTAAGGAATTGTTCTGTCAACCCAATGGTATGCAGTTCAAATCCATGAGCTGCTCCAGGGGAGAAAGTAGGGCAATCTCCTCTTATGTGGTCTACTGATTGTGAAAACCCACTGGAGGGTTAGCTATGAATCCGTTCTAACTCGATTGTATGCCACCAAAGCAATAACCAACAACAGTATATATCCTTAAGAACAGAAATGTTAGTGTTTATAAATTCTTACCAACTTCTACACAAATCTTAGAGATACTATTGAAAACTATGGTGAGGTCATCTGATGTTCAGTGCAACTCTACCACATACAGAGTATACAAAACGTGTGGATTCCCGTGTACACATACATGTGGAACTCAGGTACTACAGTCACACTGGAAACTCAGCCACTCCGGAAGCTGTTCATCAGCAAAGCTAAAATTCAGAGTCTAACATCCCAGCCCCCTCCCACATCCAGCCCAATTTCCACTCCATGGCCTGACTTGTGGCAGAGAGACCGAGAAAGGGGAGACAAGGAGGGAAAAGCACAGGGCCTTGGGTGGTCAGCAGCCAGTTACCAGGCTCCATGTAATGCCCAGGGCTCCCAAAGCACAAAAAAAGGTTAGGCCTGAGGGTTGGCCTGAAGCACAATGGACACTTTCCCATCACATCAGCTCTAACAGCAACGGCTAGCTTGTGGAGACAGCCTGTGAAAGGTCACACAAACCAATAAACAGGTGAACCAGACAAGAACTGAGCAGATGTGTTCTGGTGGAGAGCTCAGTGGTGAGTTTCTCCTTAAAATATAGCACTGAGTCCAGGTGGGCAAGCAAAGAACCCTCAGGACTCCAGGCCATAGTGAGGGGGGGGTCTGGGTTTGCAGGTGATGTGGAAGGGCATCTGAATGCTCAAGTAAAACAGGAGGCTTCAGCTCATCTGTAACCAGAGTGCAAGTCAGATGATCACTACCAGGGAGTGCCTGAATCACTTTGATATTTCATTTATATAAATGTACTCCTTTGGGGAGTGATTGGAGGGTTTTAATGAAAAGCCTGAATTATAATAAAAATCATAATTAAAATGATGACATAATTTTGCTTAGAGAAGAGTAGGTAAACCTACATACTGGGGAAAAAAACCCAACCATTTGGCAATACCATTTCAGACAAGGGTCTCATCAAAAGTTTACAGAGTTCTACAGGGATTCCACAGGAAAAAGACTGATTGTACAATTACAAAATGGACAAAAGACATGGAAAGACTTTTCACAGAGGAAAATATTCAGATGGCCAACAGACACATGAAGAAATGATAAAAATCACTGACAATAAGAGAGATGCAAATCAAAACCACGGTGAGATACCATCTCACTCCAGTAGCAGTGGAAAAGTTTACTATGACAGTAAGTAACAAATGCTGGAGAAAATGTAGGGAGATAGGAACTCTTATACACTGTGGTGTAAAATGATACAACCACTCTGGAAGGCAGTTTGGTATTCCCTCAAGAAGTTGAACATGGGAATTCCATATAACTCAGCAATTCCACTGTTTGGAATATACTCCAAGAAAATGAGAACTGATGTACAAATGGAGACTTGTAAACCAACGTTCATAGCATTATTCACCATCACAAGAGCATGGAAACAGCCCACATGTCCAACCACAATCGAATGGATTGAGAAATTAGAGAACATTCAGATGATGGAATACTACGC